CTAATTATTTTTAGCCATGTAGCAAAAAAGTTAGCTATCATGCAACACGGTAGCCTTGTTTAGCTGAAAAGCTAAATTTGTAGCCTCAAAGGTAGACAATTAGTTATCCCTCTTTTAGCTATTGGTTTAGCTAGACAGATACCCCTTTTCCCCCGCGTGTAGTGCTGCGGCAGTGCGCCCCCACGACTCACCATGGCGATGAAGGTCATGACCAGGAACACGAGGCGGAACCAAATCTCGATCTGAGTGAAGTCCGGGTTGTACGTGCGGAACTGCTCGACAAAGAGACGACAACGGTTGAAAAATCACCATCCTGCCAAGTCCATAACAACTCGCGGACCGATCTGTACTCACGTAGAAGGTGATCTCCTTGACGTTGTAGGTGTGGCTCTCCAGGCCGTAGAAGTGGATCTCGAGCAGGTAGTGCGTGAAGGCTAGGAAGCCCAGGTGCATGACCACCACCTCGTCGCAGTCCTGCCACTGGCAGTGCAGGTGCCGCGTCCGGTTGTGCTTGGCGTCGCCCTTGAGCATGAGCGTCGGCCGGTGGTTCTCGTTGATGCCGTACACCGTTACGGCGATGTGCACCGCCTTGTCGTACAGCTCGTCTGGAATCGGTTAAAAATTATTTAGATAGGTAGCTCCACAAAGATGTAGCTATACAGCACGGTGTACACCGTGCTATACAGCAAAAAAAAAATAACATGAGTATAGCTTCAAAATTAGCTGTCTGTAGCTACTTAGCTACCTTGGCATATTAGTTCACTGTTAGCTACCTAGCTAACGTTTAGCTACTTAGACAAATTTTAGCTGCTTAGCCAAATCTTAGCTACTTAGCTCAATTTTAGCCACATAGCTAAACAACTAGTCATGCTTCATTTAGCTATTGGTTTGGCTACATAAGCTAATCATTTTGAAGTGGTGCGTACCGTCCACGTTGTCGGTCTGCACCTTGGCGATGAGCCAGAGCTGCTGGTGGTAGGCGGAGAGCGCGGGCGTGCGCAGGATGAAGGGCGCCTTGCCCGTGGCCAGCTGGTCGGGCGACAGCGCCGGGCGCAGCGACGTGGCGCGCACCTCGCTCTGCGCCGTGATGGAGGGGCCCGCCAGCCCGATGAGCACGCTCAGCCCGCAGCACGCCAGGAACGTGACGATCACCAGCAGGAACTCGCGCTTGTGCATCGAGTACAGGCGCATCTGCACCGACCTGCGGAGCACGACAACGGTGACGTGACGGTGACGTGACGGTGACGTGACGGTGACGTGTTAATAGGTGACGTGGAACGTTGCCGTGCTCTGCTATCGAGGGGTCCTTCACTATAAATTGTAGCGTACACCAATTTTTCGTTTGTTTTTTTTCTTGAATTTTTGTGATTTTTCCGATTTTTTTTGTGATTT